CTAATATATATATATATATATTAGATTCGAACTTAAACAGAAAAACTATCTTAACTGTGTAGGTCACATCAGCTTACAGAGGCAACAACTATCTTAACTGTATAGTTCACATCGGATTACAGAGGCAACAACTATCTTAACTGTGTAGGTCACATCAGCTTACAGAGGCAACAACTATCTTAACTGTATAGTTCACATCAGCTTACAGAGGCAACAACTATCTTAACTGTATAGTTCACATCAGCTTACAGAAGTAAAAACTATCTTAACTATATAGATAACACTAGCTTTGTGGATTTGTGAAATCTTCCACTTACCACAGAACCACGTGAGTAAGTCATCTTCATGAAATAGATAAATCGGTATACTTCAACAATTTCTGCTGAGACGTTATGGGACAAGGTTTTGGTGATAATATTACGTTAATGAGGCCTACAGTTGTATATTACTACCCGGATAACTGGTCTAATATATAAAACAGCCATTTGTATTATGAGCATCGCTGCCGAGAGGGGGAGGGGCAAGGGGGCAGCTGCCCCGGGGACCGGGGTCTGTTGAGGGGCCCGGCAGTGAGATATTCCAAAGCTAATTAGAAATACATACTACTTAATGAGCTAAAATGGTTACTGCTTTTTCATGGATTCATGAAGAAATTTGTCACCTGATTTTTTTTATGATATTACTAACTCGGGGTCTGGGCTGACTCTCGACGCCCCTGATTATCAGTGATTTAAGTTGTACTATTATTTATTTGATTTTGTTTGAGTGTGTACTTGAAAATTGTTTTTATTTTCTCAATGTGTGATTGTTTTTCTTTTATGATGAGGGGGGGGGGGAGTTTGATTAACAAAGCTCGTGAAAGAAGGGCTTAGGTCCCCGACGTTTTTTTACAGAGCTCCAAACCGTCATTTTCTTACGGGTCGAGAAAAGCTAGTCTATATAATAAAAGCCACTCTCTGTTCGGAATGCTCGACTCTCTGTTGGTAACGTTCAAATTGTCTCGCTAGTTTGTCTGACGGAATGAAAAGAAACGGAAGTTTCTGACCATCCCGGGTTGTCTTTTTTTGAGGCCTGAAAGATCTTAAATCTAAATTTCTGCTACGATATTGGATTGTCTCAAGCAGAGTTCTTGAGTTCAAATCCTAGTCGAATTAACAATTTCTATAACTTCTTTTAAAATTATTCACTCATAATGTTTAGAGAAATATATTACAAGATTAAGAAAAAATGCAACAATATGATACTTAAAAAATAGGAATTTGAATTATTCCTAACTTATTTGTTAAGATTTGATTACAAAGACTGGATGTCACAGTTATTATAATGCTTGACTAGCGTGTGAAAGTCTCAAAGTCCGGTCGATTTGGATTTTACTTTAATATCATTTGTTATTATATTTCTTTTATTATATATTTATTATCATATTTACAACAACAACAACAACAAAACAAAAAAAAAACTCTTTGAATATTCGAAAAAATTACGAATACAATTATAGATAAAATAAGAGATAATATCATATTACATAATAAACACGTGACTGTGTGTTTGTCAAAATCAACTTTTCAAAGCAATGAATGGCGTTACAGTGTATTATCATTGATGTTTTTCACCTACGGTAAGATATTTTTAACAGTTTACTCAAAAACTCCATAAACGTTTTGACTGAAAAGTTATAGATTCGTGAATTGCCCTTCGCCATAAAATCATAGGCCCGGCATGGCCAAGTGGTTAGGGCGCTCGAATCGCAATCTGAGGGTTGCGAATTCGAATCCCCGTCCCACCAAACATGCTCGCCCTTTCAGCTGTGGGGCGTTATAATGTGATAGTCAATCCCACTAAAATAGTAGCTCAAGAGTTGGCGGTGGGTGGTGATGATTAACTGCCTTCCCTCTAGTCTTTCACTACTAAATTAGGGACGTCTAGCGCAGATAACCCTCGTGTAGGTTTGTGCGAAATTAAAAAAAAACAATAACACTAAAATCCATTGTCTTTGCCATCACAATTAATAAATCGCCGGGTTAGACATGTGACGATGTAGGAATATTTCTTCGAGATCAGGTTTTTCGCATGGTTCAATCTACACGATTTTATCAAGAAGAAGATTTAAACATAACATAAAAATATACATGAGTCAAAATTATAATCAAGGACAACTTACTGGCGATATTACCAAATACAGACATAAAAATTATGTTTTCGTGAAAAACTTGATAAAAGGATAGACATTTTCTGTACATATATCATTACTACAATATAATTAAATATTAAAAACATGTTTATAAAACACTTATTTAGATATTACTGTTAGAAAAAAATACATAAGCATTTGCCGTCATGTGACAGGCAATCAGCTAGTTGGGTATAATGTTTTACATTATGTACTTACTTAGTAACTATCGATAAAAACATATATCTGTCTAAAGTTCATCAGTTTTACACACATTAAAAAAAAGTTCTATAGATTATCCTTGATTATTATCATAAGTTTAAAGGGTTGAAACACCGGAGATTTATCACTCTTGGTTTTGAATTATCAATAGTTCCATAAAAAACGACCTATTAAGTATCCATAAAAAGCTGTTACGACAGCGAAAGTCACGTGACACTGGTAACACGTGATGAGTGTCTAGAAGATTCGCGAAGACGTTAGCGTTTGCTG